GCACCGCCCCCCCCGCCCCCAGCTCTGAGGAAAGGCATTGTTCTAGCTGCCCATGGAGCTGGCTCTGCCTAAGGGGACAGTGTGCCTGCTCTGCTTCTTCCCAAGTTTCCTGGCCGTGGGCATGGGCCTCCAGCCAGGGACTTGGGATTTGGCAGAGCTGCCGGGCCCCTGGGAGAACGCAGACCAGGAGGCTCCCCAGCACCTCTGCCCACCTCCAGTGCGGTAAGAGACGATGGCCACGGTGAGGTGCACCTCCTCGGGGTACATGTCCGGGGAGGAGCTGATGGAGTAGTAACGAGGCTGCAGAAGGGACAGCTGGGTCAGGAGCAGGGTGGTGGGCATCTGGACGGACTGGAACTCCTCCAGCACCTCCACGATGGTGGGGTTCTTGCTCCATTTCCATTCCTCATACTCCTGCAAGCCCTGCGCCAAGGAGAGGGGCAGAGGAGAACTCGCACTCAGCTCCAGGTACAGATTTCCATGGGGGCTCCAGGGGCCGGGGAGGAAGGCAAATAAAAATAATAATAGCTAACACTTAACGTTGTCAATACTCTGTGTCAGGTTTTCACTCTCGCTCGGACCTGATGAAATAGGTATGATTGTTATACCCATTTTACAGATGAGGAAACTAAGGGACATTGAGGTGCCATGGCTGACAAGGCGGTGATTCTGGGTTTTGAATCTAGGTCAGGGGTGGCAAACTTCAGCCTGCGAACCAAATCTGGCTAATCCCTTTTTTTGTCTGTTTAAATGGTTTGAGGGAAACATCTGAAGAATACTATTTTATGACCTAAGAATAAATAAAAGGCTAATATGCAAATCGACCCAACAGCGGAACGACTGGTCGCTATGATGCACACTGACCACCAGGGGGCAGACACTCAATGCAGGAGCTGCCCCCTGGTGGTCACTGAGTTGCCCCCTGGTGGTCAGTGAGCTTCCACAGGGGGAGTGCTGCTCAGCCAGAAGCTGGCATCATGGCTGGCGAGCACAGTGGCAGTGGCGGGTGCCCCTGTGGCAGCGCTAAGGATGTCCTACTGACAGCTTAGGCCTGCTCCCCCAAGGGCTCCCGGACTGACAGAGGGCGCAGGCTGGGCTGAGGGATCTCCCCCCTACTAAGTGCACGCATCTCATGCACCGGGCCTCATGTGTGATATAAAATTCAAAATAGAACACTATTTTATGACCTAAAATATGATATAAAAATCAAATTTCAAGTTCAAAGTCCATAAATACAGTGGGATTGGAACCCAGTCACACCCCCTCACTGACGTATGGTCTAGGCCCGTGGTCGGCAAACTGCGGCTCGAGAGCCACATGCGGCTCTTTGGCCCCTTGAGTGTGGCTCTTCCACAAAATACCACAAA